ATTAACATCACATATTACATGACAGAGAGACCTTTAATACCAATACAGAAAAAAGATTATAATTAGTTTACTTACGACAGTATTAACATCACATATTCATGACAGAGAGACCTTTAATACCAATACAGAAAAAAGATTATAATTAGTTTACCTAAGACAGTATTAACATCACATATTCATGACAGAGAGACCTTTAATACCAATACAGAAAAAATATTATAATTAGTTTACTTACGACAGTATTAACATCACATATTCATGACAGAGAGACCTTTAATACCGATACAGAAAAAATATTATAATTAGTTTACTTACGACAGTATTAACATCACATGACAGAGAGACCTTTAATACAGATACAGAAAAATATTATAATTAGTTTACCTAAGACAGTATTAACATCACATATTACATGACAGAGAGACCTTTAATACCAATACAGAAAAAATATTATAATTAGTTTACTTACGACAGTATTAACATCACATGACAGAGAGGCCTTTAATACCAATACAGATAAAAGATTATAATTAGTTTACTTACGACAGTATTAACATCACATATTACATGACAGAGAAGCCTTTAATACCGATACAGAAAAAAGATTATAATTAGTTTACTTACGACAGTATTAACATCACATATTACATGACAGAGAGGCCTTTACAGTATTACATTTAACACATTTTCTTCTTAGTTCTGTGTGTTGAGGTTTTTTTTTAATCACCAACCAAATAGCATCACTTCAGAAACAAATTACAAATTTTCTTTTGACATACAAGTTTCACTATCGTTTATGCTGAATAAGACATTTAAAACTCATAAAACTACGAAGTTTAATTCAGATAGTCTAAGCTCTAAAAATACTTACTTCAACCTCCCATTTGTATGGATAAGTGAGGGTGAAAAATTAATGAAAAAATTTATAATTTCTATCCACATCTGTTGCTAATTTCTAACTCAAATAAATCAAAACAGATATTTCTTTTTTAAACTCCACTCTTTGTTTTGTAAGTATGCACCTCAAACCTTAATGTACTCTTTCTTGCAACTATGTAACATATAGTCTCTGTCGGGTTGAAAATTAACATTTTATTATTGAATACTAACAATTCTCTATTACTTAAAATATACGGGATCACAGTAAATCTACAGTGATGAAACCAGAGTAACAGTAAATGTACAGTGATGAAACCAGAGTAACAGTAAATCTAGTGATGAAACCAGAGTAACAGTAAATAAACAGTCATGAAACCAGAGTAACAGTAAATCAACAGTGATGAAACCAGAGTAACAGTAACTCAACAGTCATGAAACCAGAGTAACAGTAAATCAACAGTGATGAAACCAGAGTAACAGTAACTCTACAGTGATGAAACCAGAGTAACAGTAAATCTACAGTGATGAAACCAGAGTAACAGTAAATCTACAGTGATGAAACCAGAGTAACAGTACATCTACAGTGATGAAACCAGAGTAACAGTAAATCTACAGTGATGAAACAAGAGTAACAGTACATCTACAGTGATGAAACAAGAACCACAATTAATCTACAATGATGAAACCAGAATAACAGTAAATCAACAGTCATGAAACCAGAGTAACAGTACATCTACAGTCATGAAACCAGAGTAACAGTAAATCAACAGTCATGAAACCAGAGTAACAGTAAATCAACAGTGATTAAATCAAAAATCACAGTAAATCTACAGTGATGAAACCAGAGTAACATGATAAACCTTAAAATTTTGTTTTCCAAACCAACATTAACAAGTCTTAAAAAGCCTTCATTCAATCTCGTCGTAGTACTACATCAAAACTATTTGTTTTCACTTCTCTTACACACCACAGCATTGAATTAAATTAGAACAACTATATTTAATCATCACCTTCTTATGAAAGTAAGTTCTTAGCTTTAAACATATGCTGGCGTTCATAAGTTTTATAGGCATATGTAATTTACAGATGTTATCATAAGTTTGAAGAATTACTTCATTTTTAGTAGGTTTTCACCACTATTAACGTTCTATACAAGAAGAGTATACTATCACAACAAAAAAATAAAACTGTCCAACTAGAACACACAATATATAATAAGGAGCAAATGCTTCATTTAAAAATATATATCCCTTTTTTTCAGAATTATTACTTAACTACAGAAATGTTTTTCACTTTAATGATACTATACTGGCACTGTGACCAGCAATAACCGAAAGCAGCCCTGTAGAAAAAAACTAGACGTCTTTAATAAGACAAGAACTACCTGGTCTGTAGTAACGATCCAATATACTCAAGGTGAAGAAGGATCCATAGCCATGGGCAGCATAGGGCACCTTAGCCATTGTAGCAAGATAATCCATGAAATACAACTCGGGTCCAGTATGCTTATCATATCCAGCCAATAGAAGGTTTACCAGATATGGGGTCTAGAACCAAATAACGTCACTATATCATTATAAACAGCCTTTGTTTACCATTAGATGTAGAAAGGAAACAAGTTTAATGTACCTCCAAAATATGAAGTACATATATATGAAAACAAATAGTATATATGATACTGTTAGTGACTGATTTAAAAATTGTATATATGATACTGTTAGAGACTGATTTAAAAATTGTATATATGATACTGTTAGAGACTGATTTAAAAATAGTATATATGATACTGTTAGAGACTGATTTAAAAATAGTATATATGATACTGTTAGAGACTGATTTAAAAATAATACAATAAGGTGTTACAGTAGTTTATTTTTTTACATGCTCATTTGATGTTGCTATTTTTCCTCATATAAATAAATATAGCTGAATGATCTAATTTTATATACTTACTCAAACACAACCTATACATCATCATCTGTTTTTCACATTTAAGAGTGAATTTTACCAAAATTACACATTTTCATAATTAGAAATAAGAATTTGCTACAAATGTCATCACCTATAAAATATCAAAGGCAATATGTCATCTTACTTTTTTTTGCTTCCAATAATTATAAAATAACAATAATCATCTTGAAATAACTTCATAAGTCTTCGACCATTTTTATTAAACAAGTTTCATTGTCATCATAAACAAGGGTACTTTTGGGTATCAGAAAATACTCCATCCTCTGTTGAGGCAAAAAATAATACCATATAAACAACAGTAAAAGAAACATATACCTATATGAATATTTTCTTAACAATATTTCCAACAAGGACGTGTGTTTCAGTTCCTAACCGTGTAGAAAATTAAGTACAAGCAATTCTCTGCTATGAATGTTGCATAGTTAAACTTTTCGTTTAACTGTATAATGTACGGATGTGGGAAAGAATGGAAAAAAAATTCACCATTGTTGACTATCTTACCCTACTCCGAAGGTATTCGGCAAGGTTCCTCCTGGTGAAGTTAGCCGCTCCACTAGGTGAAAGCTCGTACCCTGAAATATCATCAAACACCGGTTTAATGTATAGTTATATACTTCTTGTTCTCTAACTTTAATTTTTTTGTTAATGGAAAAATGCAGAAACTCCAAATCTTGTAAGTTTATTCCAAGATTACTAAATAATCGCTTGAAATCCTTCATAATTATCCACACAAAAATGTCACCAGATATTTAAAAATATCATCGATATCTGAACACTACAAAAATCAAAATTCTTGTAATGTAAGAATCTCAAGCTAATATTTTTGTTAGATGCTTTAAAAACTTACTTTCTGTAAATGAAACTCTTAACTCAACAAATGAAAATAATTAAAACACACATTAATACTCCTCTGTCATATTCCTTATACAAGTCATTGTTTTAAGCAAATTATAACTATTAGAGAATCACTACGAAGTATTCAACGAAACTCAAACTTCCCATCAGAAACTTATTTATCTTTAAAATAAATCTTATCAAAACACCGACTACAACTAAGTATTTCAGTTTTCTCCATTGTTAAATAAATTGCCAGTTGGTAATTCCTTTAAAAATGTCAAATATTCTAGCCTTTTGTATTGTTGTTGTTTTTTCTTCACACTCTTTTTACTATTTGTATTCATTTGATGTTTGTTCGATTTTTATTAATGTTATATTTAACAATAATTATCTCTAATACAAATCTAATTGATAATTTTAACTCGGTATATTTAATTCTTACCCATTGGAACAAATTACTAGTGTAAATGTTAAATTAAATCCTCATAAAATGTTAAATTAAATCCTCATACAATGTTAAATTAAATCCTCATACAAACCATTCCTCATTTTGTAGAGTTGAATATTTTTTTCTATAAACTCAGCAAATTGAACGGTATCTCCAGCTTCTCCACTAGCTGCCATCACTAGCTGGTCACTCAACTTGTACATCTTATCTTGAACTAAAAGTAACAATATATTTACAAAATAAACTTTTATCACACAAGTTCGCCTATCAATGTCACCCAACGAACACTAGACATAAATATAACTTTGTCCAACAAAAGAAACACAACTTTCTTATAAACTAAACAAATGTTTAAACAATTCTGTTCAATTTCTTATAAATTATTTTCATAGGAACATTGATGGCAATTTTACAATATCCATATATCTAGGTTTTCAAAACTTGCATTAATGCCTTCTTACACAAAAAAATAAATGTTTCAAAATGTATCTATCCATAACAGTTTGTTTGTTTGATGTTATGTACAAAGCTACACAATTGGCTATCTATGCTCTGCCCACCACGGGTATCGAAACCCGGTTTCTAGCGTTGTAAGTCCGCAGACATACCACTGTGCCACTGGAGGGGGCCTACCCATAAGTGTAACAGATGATTTGTTTACTTCTCTGTTAATGAAAGTAATTTTGGGATAGAAGATGATACGTGGAGTCGACCTTAGAACAAATGCTTCTTGATAAGTTCCTTGGTTTCAACTTATTTACCGTTTGAGATGATACTAGAATTAATCTCAAAAAGTACTTGAAAAATTTTGTTGTTCCCATTTGGAGAAATAGAAATGACCCAAACTATTACAGTTTAATTTGTATTTATAGCAGTTATAAAACATTTTATCTACACGGACAATGCTACTAGTAATCGTGTACATGCTCATTCTATACTTTCTCTATTCTAACGTGGCTTTCAGTTTTTTACTTTTGTGAAACTCAACCCTTCATTGTGACATACGAGTTCTTCCCTCAAGTCTTGGATGTAATAGTTATACAATTAAGGCTTAATTAAAGTACATCTTACGTACTTGAAGACTATAAACTTTATATGGAGAATAAGATGCAAGTCCAAGAGTGGAAAATGTCTTCCTTACTAAATGCTTATTTTCTGCTTGTTTTAATAACCAAGTGTTAAAACCCAGAACTCAAAACAAACTGTTGACTTCTTCCTTTTAGATGTAAATAACACTAAAAGTAGCCATTTTAAAAATGATAAAGCCACCTAGTAAATGTTTGGTTACACATATTTTGACATGCTTCCACTTCACCAGAAAATACATCTATTTCTAGAACTTCCAAATATTTGCTACTGTTGGTTAACTCTTAAATGACATGGTAAAAAAAAAAACCTGTCACGCACTGTAAGATTAATGATTATGACTTTAAAACTATACCAACCCCAAATGAAGATTTATTATAACATTCCATTAAGTATTAGGCAACCGAGTGGTTTATGTTCTTTAATTCTAAAAATTATGTCACATGTCAGTTAAGATTTTGTAATTACTTTTATTTATATTCTTTTTTATTTAAAATTTGCGAGTATATTACTAATTTTTTTGTTTTTTTAATCGTGAGGCCACTTACGACTGTTGGAGCACCGTAGATGCTAATGCATCATTGGTGATTCTCAGGCAAATTTACCAGGTGACACCCTTCTCTTCTCCAGGTATTCGTCCCTAGACGGAATCCAGCTACTCAACATCATCCACTGTCAACTCTTAGACTAATCTTTTACCAACAAATAAAGGGACTGACCATCACATTACAACACCCCTACAGCTGAAAGGATGAGCATATTTGGAGATGGGGATTTGAACCCATGACCTACAGATTGCGAGTTGAGCACCCTAACCCTCTAGGCCTTGCCTGGTTTTAAATTATTAATATGAAATAAGAAATATTCACTTTTGTTTTTATGTCAGTTTGTAGAGTTGTTCATTTAAAAAACACTGCTTAACGCTTTTAATAAACTAATTTTACATTACCCCTCTGAAAATATTATACTATATATACTTTATTACAGAAATTTTTAAAATTTCTTTAGTCATACAATTTGTGAAGTTAACACATGACTTAAAGTTTTTTAAAAATTGAATTGTCTAGAGTACTTCATTATTTTGAGTGTAGCTTAACTACTATTACTACTCAATTCATGATCAGAAACTGATACCTGAAGGATCACTGCTTTGGTGCCTTAAGCTCTGAAAATACCTTAATATTCTGTTTATGACAAAAAATAACAATCGCAGTGGAATTTACCTTGGTTCTTGAAACTTTCATCAACTACGTAAAATACGTAATGTCTATACAGTATTGTATTCCTTTTTCAAAACTAATATCTTGTATAATGTTACAAAATTAAAACCCAACTCTGTCAACTCAGAAGACAGCTCTAAACTTACCATTATTCAATGTTGTTCATATAATCGTTCACTACTTACACTAAACTATAACCAACTCCTGTACGTATTTTATTTTGTTTGTTTTTTTTATTGAAAAAGAAATCTAAGGCCCTAGTTATTTTGTTTTAACTATTACTGTGTGTAGAAATTGGATAGTTAATTACATTTACATAGATTGTTGTTAAGAAGTCTTGGCTATGACATTGACAATGTGAGTTAGGCTGTTCGTGCCATAAAATAAATAATATATATGTCGATAAAACTAAAATTAAGTAAACAAAAACTAGCTACAATTTTACAGGTTGCAACTTACCATTCTGTACAACAACTATGCCAGATGCGTTTGTTGTATCAGCCGCAACAAGAACAAAATCCTGGCAAGCTATTCCAATTAAATATTCCATTTCTGATTATCTTATAACGAGCGTACCGTGTAAGTTATAAGCTGGAACTAAGCCTAAATCGTTACAATGACTTGCACATAGACGTAAAATAGAACAAGTTAAGCCTCACGATACACTCATGAACACATTCCAGATAAAAGTCATCTATGCAAGTCCAATAAAAATCTGTAAAAGCAAAATAATATAATATTCATTCCAAAACAAAAAACATCAAACTAATAGTGGTTTTTTTCTATTTAAAAATAAACTAATCATAATAATGCATAAATATCAATAAAAAATGTGTTCCACAACAAGAAAACATCAAAATTAAAAACTTTTTTTTTTATATTTAAAAAGAAACTGATAATAATATGTAGCAGCGTTATACTGAAAATAGAATTTTTTATTTATACACAAATTTACAATGAGAATATACGTGTTGTATTTGGAGAATTTTCGCGCAAAGCTATTCAAGTGCTATCTGAACATTTCTTGTTTTGAACGAAGAGACGAGAGAATCCACCAACTCTTTTGATTCCCTTGTCTGGCCAAATGGTAGAAATTGATTGTTACTTTTACAGTTCACACACATCCACAAAGGGCAGAGAGCGTTTTTGCAGCAACAAACCATAAACCCTCAGATTCACAGTCCAGGCATGCTAACCGCTAGGCCACGCTAGACTCCTAGAAGTTATTTTTTTTTAGCACAATGATAAAATATGCTATTTGTGGTGTGTCCGCCAAAGAAATCGAAACCCAAATTTGAGCTGTATGAGCCTTCAGACTTACTGCTGATCATCACGGGAGACTACAGTAAAGAACATGTAATGACAAATATTACATGTTATTACAATATCATTGCGCAAGATACAATTATAAGACCTTTGAATGAAAGTAAAGAAGAATGAAAAATAATGTGTCAACCACTGCTGACAAGGTATTTCGACCAATACTAAGGTACATACTTCAGCCTGTTTGAAATACGACAGATACAGTAGTGAATGAGACGTTATTTATGCTGTAAAATTGCGTGAATAACAATTGTTTTGGTGTGAACTAGATTAACTCGATGAAGCATGATTTTTATATATTTGTATGAGTCACATGTGGCTCCACGATAAGTCTGACTGCTTAAAGCGCGAAACCATCGGGTTTCGATACCTGTAGTGGACACAGCACAAATAGCCCACTGTGTAACTTTGAGCTTGACAACAACCAAACAATCCATCAAAGTGATAATTATAGTTTAAATTAAGGTAGCACGGATATATTACTTTATTTGCATAATTAAATGTCATCTGGTCTTTATTTGCCCGATTCCCTAAATAATTCAAATTCTTTTGTAAAACAACAGAATCCCCCCCAAAGCCAACTAAACAAAATACTTTAATATAATCAGTAAACTCAACCAATTTATTGACCATTCCCTTATCACTGTCATTAATGTATATCAAAAAGAGTAGCTTGCTATTTATCTCAAACATATTTTAACTTACCGGAAGTGAAAGTTTTGAACGCCGGGCGGTAGCTTGTGGTGAGAAACGTGTGGACCGCTATTCTAGGAACAGAGTAAGTTGAATATTTTTAAAACAAAAAGTACTGCAATTATTTTCCGGATTTAGGATATATAAAAGTAAAACTTAACTGAGCTATGTAACAATAATGTCAGAAATGTTAAAATCGTTAAAAATGTCATACTAATACAGCTTATAACTATAAGTTATATGTCATTCTTAGTCTTACTCTTCTGCTTAGTTCTGGTGAGGTATTGAGTAGGCTTAATCAATGATTGTGTGCAACTGAAACACCACACCCGATTGTTTTTTTCTTGTATTGTAGAAAGTTGTCAAAATACTACATCGTGTGTAAATTTTGTGTTACTTAGTATAACCTGATTCATGATAAATTAAATTTCATATTTTAAATAATTTAGTATACAAAATTATTATGTGTTCAGTTATAACTTAAAAGTTAAACTGTCTCAATGACTGAACTTGTAATAATAAACGTTTTTAAAATTTTATGCTGGTTAATGTAACTTGGGTGTTTAGTTTTTATTAACTTTTACATGTTTTAATACTAACAATATTGGAAATTGTATTTCTTAAATTAATCAAAAGTGTATTTAGACTACATGACAATTAATTCAATCACAGCTCAAAATACGAGTGAAATCCATTTCAGCAAAAGTAACTTTTCATACTGTCAACAGTTTAAAGCCATTTTACAGAAATAGAAAATAAAGGACATATGTAATTTTCAAAATCTGGAGTCATTATGTCAGAAATTATTTCATTTTCATTAATACTTTATTTTTCTAAAGAAATACGCATAAAATGAAATTATTACAACAAATGAACTGCCAGTAGGAAAAGTGCATAACATAATATTTAGGGGCAACAAGGGACCTATTGGTCCATAATGGCTATCCCATCCACTAAACTAAACCTATTAAAAAAACAAACATCAAAGCCATAAAATTCATTCCATCATTCATATAGTTATCAAGCTTTCTCTTAAACTCACTTAAATTTGCTACCTCCACAACATCTTAAAGCAACCCATTCCAAAGGCCAACCACTGTGTTAGAAAAATAAAATTCTTGGCTGAAGATGGCTTCTACTCTGCTAAAATTTATATTTGTGTCCCCTAGTCCTGCTGTTCTCATTGTCAAATATAAAAAAAAAAAGATGATGCATCAACACTATCAATTCCCTTGACAATCTTAGACACCTCAATCAGATCTTCTCTTAACTCTTCTTTTTCTGGAGAAAAAAATTTTGTATGACAACCTTTCCATCCCAGGTACCATTCTAATAGGCTTTGTCTGAACCCTTTCCAACAATTCAATGTCCTTTCTTAGGTAAGGAGCCAAAGATTAAACACAATACTCCAAATGTAGCCTAACTAGTGACCCAGAAAATGAAATTATAACCTCTTTAGACTTGTATTCAATATTTCTGTAGATACAACCTAAAATTTTATTTACCCTACCATTAGCAACAGCACATTGCTTGGATGGCTTTAGAGACTGATCAACCATCACACCAACCTTTTCTTCCATAACCAGTCTTTTTACAAGAGAATTGTGAAATTCACAAATGAAACATGGATTCAGAAGTTTAAAATGTCATGATATTGTTAACTTTAATGGTAAACTACAAAACAGCAATTCATCAATCTCCATGTGGTTCCAAAAAAGTCTTCACACGCAATGCACTTTTTGGTCCAAAAAATGTTTGGTTCTTTATTCAGATTTATGCAAAATTATCAAGTCAAATTGTTTAAACTACGATGGATTTTGTTTCTGAAAGGTCACCAATTAGACATAAATCCGGTGTGAAAAGTGCCAATAAACAATTTATAATATTAATAATAATAATAATATATATATTATGAATGAAATTAGATTTAATTTAATTGATTCTAATATATATGGGCCTTCCATGTTTTGTGAGAATTTCATACATTAGGTCCTCCATATCCTACATAAAAGCTATGTATCTCATATAATTGAGAAAAGAATTAAAATTAATTTTGAATATTATATTCTGAAGCATTTGAATTTTAATTTTTGGTATGGCTTATTCCAGTGTTTCCCAAACTAGGAGCTGGGGCCACCAAGAAATGAGCAGAAAACAAAGATGCCAAATTAATTTTAATTCTAAATAAACATTAAGCCAATAAAAATAATGTTGAATTAATTAAAAGAAACAGTATGTTGAAAGAAGATGTTATTGTTTTTACTACGGCACCATTTTTCAATCACCACGCTAAAGTTATAGCTTGGGGGCCTCAAACATTTTTATCAATATCAAGGGAGCCTCAGACTAAGAGAGTTCGGGAACCACTGACTTATTCAACCAGTAATACTATAATTATCCGTATTTTCATTGGTTTGCATTAGAACTTTGAAATGGAAACTGGATTTATAATATTTCCAACTTTTTTCTTGACTGTCCCTCAAGCAATGCACAAGTATGTGGCAAAATCATATACATGGACTTGATACAAGTTTATATATGACATTTCTTTGGTGTCATACTTGATGTTTATCATAAAATGTCACTGCTTTGCTCCATCTGTTGCTAATTTTGAGGTCTGATTGTTTATATCTTTTAATAATCAACATATATTGATGATTTTTTTACATTTTTATTCTAAACAAAGAAATTGTGCATGTAAAATGATTAATGACAAAAGTTTTCAAATTCACTATTGCAGAGAGAGAGAGAAAACAGGTTTCTGATGAGAACAGAAACATTAGTATTTTCCAAATAATACCAATTCTAAGAATACATAGGTGCAAGCAAAGAAGAAAATGTTCATGTTTTCATTACTTTAAAGTAATTTTAAGTATTGTGAATTGTAGTTTGTCAGTCAGCTGTATCAGTCTCGGTTACTTGGAAGGTCCACCAGCATGAAAATTTGTTAAGAACTTCAAAGAAAATATACCTTTTTTTACTCACAAACAAAACTAACTGCAAAGGATTTCTCTAACCATGTTTTTTGTCCTATAAACATGTTGCTACTAAAGTTGAAACATTGTGGTTTGTATTCTGATGGGAATTGTGAAGAATCAACATTTGGTTCATAACAAAGTATTACTGCACAACACGCTATTATTTTACTATTATACTGATTTTTTTTCTTTTCCCTTATAACAGGTTATGTCAGGACCAGTGTGTGTAAATGTTTATGCCACCAGTGCAACGACTGAAAACCTCAGTCGTCATGATATGTTAAGTTGGGTGAATGGATGTTTACAGACTCAGTATAGCAAGATTGAGGAACTATGTACAGGTACTTAAGTTTTTTGTCACCCACATTATTGTTTTTTGACTGTGCAACATTAATTGTTAAAAGTAAATCAAATAAGAGCATTTTGTCAGCTTACTGTTGTAAGAAGTGTCTTGTTGTTATTACACAGTATTATTCTTTTTTACTGTTGTTTTGTTACTTTAGAATGCCAAGTAGAGTTAACAAGAATATCAATTCTGATTAAAGTTATAGTAAAAAACGAATAACACACAGCCTGATAAGTAACATTATATTAACAGATTGGTAGGTAAAAAACAATACCAATCTGTTAATATAATGTTACTTATCAGGCTGTGTGTTATAGTAAAAAACACCAATTTGTTAATATAATGTTACTTATCAGTCTTTGTGTTATAGTAAAAAACAATACCAATCTAGTCATATAATGTTACTTATCAGGCTTTGTGTTATAGTAAAAAACAATACCAATCTGTTAATATAATGTTACTTATCAGGCTTTGTGTTATAGTAAAAAACGATACCAATCTATTAATATAATGTTACTTATCAGGCTTTGTGTTATAGTAAAAAAACACCAATCTAGTCATATAATATTAATTATCAGGCTTTGTGTTATGGTAAAAAACAATACCAATCTATTAATATAATGTTACTTATCAGGCTTTGTGAAGTTCAAAATGTCAGTGACGTTTAGTTGTACAAATAATGAGTATATATAATACATTTACCTCTTCTGTTTCTAATATTTCTTCTTGTAATTCTTGAATATGATTTTTATATCAGGTGCAGCATACTGCCAGTTTATGGACATTCTTTTTCGTGGTGAGTCCTTTTGATAACTAAGAAATTAATTTTGATATTCTTGGGTTATTGTACCTTTCCGTAAAGGATAAAAAAAGATCAATTCAGGTGACTTGTATGGAAATAAAAACTTCTTTTATTTTTTATAATTATTAAATGTGAGAAGGATTTTTGTGTCAAACATAATTGTTACATTAACAGATTACTTGTATAAAGAATTGAATTAGCAGTTTTTTTAGTATACTTTGTGATTTTATGCTACGTACATCGTTAAAGTGTTACTTGATGACAGGAGGTCATGTCAATGAGGAGATTGTAAGAAGATGGTGATGGTAAAAACAAAATTCATGTGTGTTAAAAAATGTGAAATTATAAGTAAACATTTACCATTATAAATAAAGAGCAAAGAAAAGGAATATCTAAATGACCTTTCTAAAATGTAATGTTTTCGATGTTTTTTTAGTGGTATTATTATTAGCTTTAAGCATTATTGCAGTTTCTGCATGTGAACCTTTATATTGAGCCTTATGTTTTAAGATGTTAATGAAACTACTAGAAAGTTAGAATATCTGTTTATACAGGTACTACAGCACTGAAGAAATGTTCCAACGATCTTTATGAAAATATTAGTTTTTAGATTTTTTGTTTTGTAAGTTTAATTCAAACAGTGGTTTCAGATGTTTATAAAACTCATTTACATTACTGTTTCCACTGAATAAGTGTGGTCCTCAGGAGGAAACATAGTGCCAACTCGAAGGGAAAGTCTGGTAACTGAAATTGTGCAAGAGTTCCGATTCCTCCTTGAGACCTAACTACGCTAAGATTTTAAACACTCCAGAAAAAGTTAGATAACTAGTGTTTTCTCTTTTTGCACCACAGTTTTGCAACTGGTTATTTTATATTGATATTGATCTGCACTTAGTTACCTGCTGTTATGAGTTGTTTATTATTAAAAAAACATATCTAATGAGAAATCCTTATTTTTTCTCAAATGATCTAATTAGAATAATCATAATTAGGATTACTTACAACTATTAAATTAATAATCAAGTTAAATTCCGAGTGTGATAATTGCTCTACACTAATGTCCTCATACAGAATAGCACAGGTACTAGTTTCATTCTCCAGTTGCATGAAGTATGCTATAGTTGAACAGATATATTGTGGAAGCAACTTTATTGTTTTTCTATATGGACATACGTTTTTATTATGTTGCACACTGTTGGCTGGAGCATATGGATGGTTTTGGCCACTGGCTTTTGTGTTCATGAATTCTCTCCTGTTACAAAACGCTGTGCTTACCATAGCTGGGTTACGACTTGTTGTAGGTCTATTTTTGGATAGTCCTGCTGCCCCAAGTTGATCCAAATTCCTTTGTATTGATCTGGGTGTATGAATATTTTGCATCAGAAAGAGCTATTACATATTGTCTAAAAAGCAATAAAATTTTGATGGCATCACATACTACCCATGAAATGGCAAGAAATTAAAAAATATTGTTATGATATATGCCATTCTAACACAACTTTATGTAATGGCTGTGGTTATCAGATGACTTACTGATTTGCATATTCTGTGGCATTTTGATGTAACGTACTCAACTATGTGATCTGTATAAAGATATAAACTGTGCAGTCAGTGTTTTCCTCTTCCATTTGCTCAGATCTGAAGCATAAAGTTAGATAGTGGAGCAACAGAATAACACACTGTACCACTGCTATAATTTTAAAGGCGTTGTGAGTAAAATTTAATAAAATCTGGATGTAATAAATTGAAAAGTTTCTCTTTTTCCAGCCAACAATGAACACAAATGCTATATTTTTGTGTTAGTTTTATACCTGTATCACACTGTTTTAGAAATGGGTTCATTCTTTGAAAACATCAAGGCTTAAAATAATATTTGTTCTTTCAGGATGTGTACCGTTAAAAAGAGTCAAGTTCAGAACGAACCTAGAACATGAGTACATAAACAACTTCAAAATTCTTCAGGCAGTTTTTAAAAAAGTTAAAGCAGACAAGGTAAGTTCCGAATGTCTCTAGAGATATTGGAATCATTTCTTTCAATTTACAGAGAGAGTAAGAAGTAAGTCCTACCCTACATTTAACAAGAATGCTATATCCGGAACACATTACGATTATTATGTTTTGTGAGAGAGGGAGTTACTCCATATAAGCTATGAAGTGGAATAGTAAACTTCTTTCATGTTTGAGTTTCTTTTCTTTACAGAATCTTGTTTGTTAATATATATATATATATGCTGATGTTTTTAATGGTTTTTGTTTTGTTTTTCTTTCCTTTTTTTTTTTCGATGATTATGTTTTATTCACAATCACCTATGGTGAAAAGAAATTTGATTTTTAGATTGCCTATGTTGTGAAATTGATTTATAGTTTGTCTTTAAATCTACAAAATTGTTATTATTATTCCATGGGAAAAAATGACTACTGCCAAAAATAATCACCAAACGGAACTTATCGCAAAATATGCATCTCAAACATGTTATCAGTGTGATCATCAGTCATATTCAGTATTGCTTTCATTCCTGAAAGAATGTGATACGCGGCTGAATGATACTATTTAATTTCTACGATATCTTTTAGGCACCAAGCTAATTAAGGTCAATGAAAAGCTTGTATGGCCAAAAAAAATCAACGAGGGTAAGATCTGGAGACCATACGAGTCATATGCTTGGAAAAATTTTCTGAAAGTTTGTGCAGTGTGGGGTAGAGCCCCCCACCTAACATGAAGACAGTTTTATTCAAAACCTATCTTTTCTGAAATGTTCCAAATTACATCTACAACCAAACCTGATTGTTAAAGATTTGTTTTTAATCTACTCATAAGCTTCACTACTACATTTTCCTCTCCGTTCACCCCTTTACCATCATTATTATCGTGGCTGTAGTAACGACTTGTATGATAAATTCTTATGTTCAGAGATAAACTGATGGCATAATAAATCTCGACATTTTTTTTTATCTGTTTTAATACAGTCGTTGGTTTATACATTTTACTGTACCGTGTCTCTCATCTACTGGTGAAAATTATTTTTGGTACTGGAATCGTCTTGTTTCCTCATCTAGCAGATATATCTGTGATGATCAGTTTTCAAGTTTGGATGATAAAAAAAGGCCCATTAACTTTATATTACCTTTTTTTATATATGAAACTGATTGAAATGTAAATGATTGTTCCCTGCTTTTATAGTTGAAATAAATTTATCAGTTAATAGTATTGGAAGAAATGAACAATTGTAATAACCTAAAGACAATGACACAGAAACTGTATGTTGAATATTATTTAAGTCATTGATATATTAAACTTATGATTTTTTCAAAAGTGCAAAAGAACAGCCTCTAATGTCATTGGAGACAAGCAACCTTTAACTACAGAAAATTTGCTCATTGTCTTGAAACAGTTTCAAGTCTGTTTTATGTAAAACTTTGAAGTCTGTTTGGTGTAAAAGTTTCAAGTCTGTTTGGTGTTAAACTTTCAAGTCTGTTTTATGTAAAACTTTGAAGTCTGTTTGGTGTAAAACTTTGAAGTCTGTTTGGTGTAAACTTTCAAGTCTGTTTTATGTAAAACTTTGAAGTCTGTTTTGTGTAAAACTTTGAAGTCTGTTTGGTGTAAACTTTCAAGTCTGTTTTATGTAAAACTTTGAAGTCTGTTTTATGTAAAACTTTCAAGTCTGTTTGGTGTAAAACTTTGAAGTCTGTTTTGTGTAAAACTTTCAAGTCTGTTTGGTGTAAAACTTTCAAGTCTGTTTTATGTAAAACTTTCAAGTCTGTTTTATGTAAAACTTTCAAGTCTGTTTTCTACGTTAAACTTATCTTTGAAAAAGATGATATAACTGAAAGATTGTT